GAATCCACTCAAGTGATGATCGATTTTCTCAAAAACACCGAATTATATTTGAAGAAGAAAGTTCGCAAAATTAAGAGTGATAATGGAACTAAGTTTAAGAATCAAATTTTAGATTCATTATTGACGAATTTGGGTATTTCTCGTAACTTTTCGTCTTCTTTTACACCACAAAAAAATGGTGTTGTTGAAAGGAGGAAACGTTCACTGTGAGAAGCTGCAAGGACAATTCTCACATATGCGAATTTGCCTCAATACTTTTAGGCAGAAGCAGTTTTGACAACTTGTTTTACAAAAAATCGTTCATTCATTCATCATTGTATTAACATCACACCTTATGAAATCATTAACAAAAGGAAACCTAAGTCAAAATTTCCATGTTTTTGGTTGTAGATGTTTCATAATGAATCTCAAAGAAAATCTTTCCAAATTTTAGACGAAAGCTGATGAAGGAATTTTATTGGGATATTCTCATAAAGTTTTCGCATATAGGGTGTTGAACAAGCGAACACGAAAAGTTGAAGAAACATTAAATCTTACATTTGGTGATTAGTATGTCAAGAGAGTTGAACAAGAATTTTCAAAGAAACAAATTCTTTCTGAGAAAAATGAAGAATCTGAGTAGATGCTTACTTTTGATGTTGATTTTGATTTACTCTTTGGTACATCTGATAGGGAAATTGATGCTGAGGTCAATATCGAAGATAATCAAGTACCGGAAGCATCAAAGCATTCATACGATTCGTTAATTACTAATGAAGAAAATGAGGCTTATTCGTCATCAACCTCAAGACTCAATTTTGAAAGAGAAAGTTTTTTCGACTCATGGTCAAGTGGAAGGGGAGCACTTGATTTCTCAACTTCATTTCAAGGGGGAATTGTTGACTTCGCAATCAGATGTTAAGGGAGAGTTATTAACTTCACAAGCTGGTGTTGAGTGGGAGCACCAGACAACGAATCGATTGGTTGAGGGGGAACCAAGTGGAACTAATCATTATGATGATGATGATGCTTAAGGTAATGATTTTCATGATATTAATGATAATATTTCAATTGTAGATGAATTTTCTAAAGCTAAAGAGACATTTGAGTATGCACATTTGAAGTTTGATCATGCATTTCCTCCTATGCAGAAATGTACAAGGGATCATCCAAAAGAACAAATTCTTGGTGATCCTAGTTCTTGTATTTTAGCATGGGCACAGGTTCAAGCAAGGAATGAGGTTCTAAATGTTCATCGATAATATTGTATGTTCTATGTCTTTATTTCAAAAATCGAACAAAAAATAGTCAAGAATGCATTAGAATATCCCGATTGGGTTGTTGCGATGCAATCCGAGTCGGCTGAATTCGAAAGGAACAAAGTTTGGAGGTTAATTCCCAAACCTGATAATGTTTCGATTGTTGGTATTAAATGGGTTTTTTTAAAAATAAAATGGACAAAGAGGGAAATGTGGTTGCAACAAAGCTAGATTAGGCATAAAAGGTTATTCTCAAAGAGAGGTAATTGATTACGAAGAAACATTTGCCTATGTCGTAAGACTCGAGGCTATACAAAATTTTCTTGCTTATGTAGCTCATAAGAATTTCAACGTCTACCAGATGGTTGTTAAGTGTGCATTTCTCGACGGTGTTCTTGAAGAGACAATCTATGTCGACCAGCCACCTAGATTCATAAATGATAAATATCCTGATCATTGTTATATCCTTGACAAAGCTATTTATCGGTTAAAACAAGCACCTCATGGTTGGTATGCGATGCTAACCAATTTTTTGAAAATCGTTAAATTTAAACAAGGATCAGTTGATCCCACTCTATTTAGAAAAATGGGGGATCACTTAATGCTTGTTTAAATTTATGTTGATGACATAATATTTGGTTCTACTGACCCTTCGTTGTCAAAGTTTTGAGGAGCTTGTGAAGAGTTAATTTGAAATGAGCACGATGGGGAAAATCAATCATTTATTGGGATTAAATATTCGTTAATGCAGGGAAGGAATATTTATAAATCAAGAAAGCTACACACAAAACCTGCTTGGACATTTTGGAATGAAGAATTGAAAAAGAGCTAAGGTTCCCATGACAGTCGACACTCGCTTAGGTCCTTCGTTGGATAAACCAACTGTTGATCTTAAGCATATAAAAGCATGTTCGGTTCGTTATTGTACTTAACTACAAGTTAACCTGATATTATGTACCAAAGGGCTTGTAGCCCAGTGGTATCCAGTGTTTCCCTCCCTCCTTGAGTTTGAGGGTTCAAGTCCCGCAGTGGACATAGGCAGAAATGAAGAGTTGTTAACGAGTAAAATATGTATTTTCCGTTTAAAACAAATAAGAGCTGATATTATGTTTTTTGTGTGTAATTGTGCAAGGTATCAACCAAATCCATAGAACCCCATGTTACATCAGTGAAAAATGATTTTTGTTATCTTCATGTAATGTCGACTCTTGGATTGTGGTATCCCTCAAACACATGATTCTTTATTCAAGCTTTCTCAGATGCTGATCCAGGAGGTTGTCAATTGGATCAAAAAAGCACTATAGGTGGATGCTAATTTTTAAATGGGAAGCTTGTGAGTTGGCAGTCGAAAAATCAGAGATGGGTATTGATTTCAACAGTTGAGGCTGAATACATTGCTGCTGCAGCGTGTACTTTCCAAGTGATCTGGATCCAAAGTCAATTATGTAACTATGTGGTCAACATGAAGAAAATTATATTATATTTTGATTCTCAAAGTGTAATTCGCAAATGTCATAATCCACTTCAACATTCAAAAACTAAGCATATTGCACTTCGATACCACTTCATCAAATATCATGTTGAAGATAGGAATATTGAAGTTCATTTCGTTAAAACAACTGACCAACTGTTTGATATTTTTATAAAACCACTAGATGAAAAATCATTTTTGAGAATTTTAAACGGGTTAGGAATGATGGAAGCTTGTTATGTTCCTAATTTTAAATAATTTTCATTAAATATGATTTGTGAAATTTTTGGACTAATATTCGTTAGTTGACAAAATTTCATTTAGAAGTTACTGTTCATGTTCATCGCTTCTACCTGCTTCGCTTACGACATTATCTCTGACTCGTTCAACACATGTTGATATCTAGTGAATGGGAAGTGTCTCTCATTAGGAAGCGTATGGGAAGCGTATACTTTTGGGAAGCACATACTTTAGGGAAGCTCATATTTGTAGGAAGCATATGTAAATGGGAAGCATTCCTATTGGGAAGTGACGGAAAATGGGAAGTGGAGTAAAAAATGGGAAGCTTTGGTTCTCTTGCCAAATATTCGTTATCAATAATGTATGACCAATGTTGGTGATATCATTTTTTATTTTTGTCTTTTCTTTATAAAATTCAAAAATCCAAAAAGATTTTCTTTGTTCTTTTCTTTTCTTTATAAAATTTAAAAATCCAAGAAGATTTTCTTTATTTTTGTCCTTTATTTATAAAATCCCAAAATCCAAAAATATTTTCGTTTTGTTTGAATTTTTTTTTTCAAAAATCAAAAATATTTTCCTTATTTTCTCTGAGAATAGGAAGTTCATTATAACAATCTGTTGCTCTTTTGCATGCCCAAAGAGAAGCTCAATAGGGAACTGGTATGATACGAATCTCTTGTACTAATTAGGTGTCCATAGAAGCATGCTACAACATGTTGTCCAAAAGCCTCATAGACTCATTGTGTACGAAGCCTTAATGAAAATTTTCTTACGAAAATTTCTTCCCAAATCCCAATAGGCTGTACTCACAATAGTTGAAGAGCTAACTTTCTCTTCTGATTCTAAGTAAAGAGATAACTGCAATGTCCTTTCATTCGCAGAGGTACAATGGATTTTCTTAACCAATCTTTTTCACCCTAAATTTCTTACACAAGCACACACAATGACGCATGCCCAAAACATCTCTGATCAAAAACAACCATGATGTAGGTATGTCACAATTATGTGTTTATGATCCTAAATCATTTTTCCATGATGAGGGTGATACCGAACAAACCTAAACTTAACGATTTGATGGTGAACATTTATTGTTCAAGATTCTAATGAAACCTCATATTTTACTGTACCATTTTTGATGTTCAAAATCTCATTTTCATCTCTTTTGTGTGATCTTGATGAAATGTACTAATCCCAAGTCTTTTCTTCCCAATAGATCCAGATTTTTTTTTATGAAATGAGATTTATGTTTGAACATTTGTCTTACTTCTTTGTCAATTAAATTTTTTCGAAATCTTACTTGTTCTTAGCTACACTGGTCATACAAGAATTTTCGTACAACGATTTGCACTTATGTCAAATTGTGAATTTTCATGAAAACGAAGCCAGCTACGAAGCTTATGAAAAGAGGTCCTTCATTACTCCTTAGTGAGTATATGATTATAATTCATGGGAAGCCACACAAGCAATTCAACATCTCTCTTGATGGCAAATGAAGACTCTCTTTTCCCGGTATTTATTTGCTTTTATATAAAAGATTCTTTCATATCACTATGTCCAAAATTTTCTTAATTTGATTCTATCTTTTCATTTGGCACACATAAGCATTGAAATCCTCGAGATTATGGGTATTACCAACTCATACCAAGATTTTGCAAAGTTTAGCAAATGATTTTACTTACAATTCTCGTAAGTGAATGAGCCCTATTTCCATAATGACGAATGGTTCTTGGTTCACAATGAAGTGAGTGAAGGTTCAATTTTTTCTGAGAAAGACGAAGTATTCGTTGGATGGGACATTTTATGTGACTTCTTTTGGCTCAAGAAAAGTGATCTTCATTTTTTACACGTGGCAGTTAAAGGCATTGACGGTTGAATAACTCATTTTTACATGTGACACTGCCTAATTGGCATAATGTTTGAATTTGAATTTGATGCTGGTTATTTAAGGAAGATTTGGTCATTCAGTTTCCGTTTTCACATTCCTAGCATTCACGCAAAAACCCTAAATTCACTTTGCATTCAAGTCTCACAATCTCTCTCGATAGTTCTTCATGTCTACTGGAAACACGGTGGTTGATCAATTCAACACAAATGACGAGGAAATCTCTCAACCAACAATGAAGATCCAGAGCAAAAATCTTTGGTTCAACCCGTTGATCAAGGATTATCTAGAGGAATTGAAGATGATTCTTCAAGTGATGAATGATTCAATACTCACTCATGCGTTAACTGCTTCGTTTGCTATACCCATGAAATGGTTATATTTGGTTGCTTCAACTGCTGTGTACAACAGAACAATAGAAATCGTCACATTTCAGTTGACATCGAGCAAGAGCAAACAATTAACTAACAAATAGTTTGCCCAAATCCTGAAATTACCATCTGAAGGTTGTGAGAACAAGGATATTATGCGCAGGGACAAGGTTCGAAAACTCAAACCTTGAGTTAATGCTTAAGATCAATGTCTGCATGTGATTATGAGTTCTAGTGAAGTCTGGCAAGACTAGTCGAGGCTGAAGGGACAAATCAACAAAATACTTCAAGTATTAAATGTATAACTATGACTATAATCAAGGTAAAGACAATAAATGAACAAGTAGAATGTTTTGAAAGAGTTTGATATGAGAAAAAAGTGAAAGAGATTTAATGTGAGAATATGCTATCTTTTGAAGAACAATCTGTAATATTATTGTCATTCAATCACTCCTTAAATATTCAAGGAGGAACATCATACAAACTGATTGACATACAAAGGACCGCATAATAATACTACTTCTGACATACTGATAATCCAAATAAACAAAAGAGACTTGGTCCTATGAAAAGTTACATCAAACAAAAGACAAGAATAATCAATGCATAGACTGACACATGATCTCGGATCATTTCTTCAACTCGGCACATACTCCACTCCGGACTCTACCATCATCTCGTACCACAACCATTTCGGACTCAAGACTGACTTCGGAACTCCAAGGGTTAGAGATTGCTAGAGGTTCACTTTCAGGTTCCAACAATCTCCCCCCAAGTGAACTTAACAATCTAGTCAGCTTAGTTCAATTCTTCCTTGATAAACACATAGGCCCGGTACAACCAATCTCTGTCTTCGATGTACCACGGCAGCTGACTTATGAATTTTGACTTCACATGCTCTGGCGCGTCAGACTTTGAAGCACAATTGATAAACTTCCGAAGGGCCTTGGTGGGAACCAGATGTTTGTCAAGGACTCAGAAGAAGTCCTTCTTGTTCGTTTTCCTTTGAAGATACACAAACCCTAACAATGGTTCGTCAATTGGTCCCTCTGCCAATATCTTAGCCTCTGGCAGCTTGAAGTCAATCTTCACTAAGTATTTTTTGGTTTCGAACAAGTGGGCCAATTCAAAGTCGCACCTGCAAATTTCAGCGACATAATCTTTTAGGAAACTCAAAGCAGCATGGTAGGCTCGCATGCTAAGATCATCGACTTGGTGGCTTCTGAAGTGTGCAGCAATCGTCAGGATGTCATTGGGTTTGATTGCTGGGAAGTCGGCGTCGGTGATGGTTTTTTGAGTTGGTTTGTTCTGGAAGATGTAGTATCGGAACAACACACAGTCCAGTTCAAATTTGGTTAAGATTTTTCTTCCGAACCTAGATTTTTCGGTTATCCTTTTCTGAGACCATACTTATTTTTGGTGAAGTGCGTTCTTGGAGTAAAAGGTTTTCAATCGTTCAAGTTCAGTTCTGATGATCATTCGAGGATCATCTTCCGGGTGGAGAGGAGCGAACTTTGTGTAGAATTTTTTGTATGGAGAGAGAGGCAGATCAATATGGTCCGAATCTTGGTTGGGAAGATCATAGTACATAAATGGCACTATGTCGAAATCATGTATAATTCCTTCTCGGCAAAGAGGGGAAAGCCCTAGCATCGGATGAGGATTGTCTTTGAAGGATTGAATCCGGATGCTTTCCTCAAGAGCTTGATTTATTTCTTCCTGGGACCAACCATTTATCCCTTTCATGGGAGTTTCGGAGTAGGAAAATTCCAATATGGGCTTCTTTCCCTTATCTTGCTGTTTGTTAAGGACCGAGAGAATGTGTTGCATGTTCTCATCTATGGCAAATTTCGGAGGAGAGGAAGTCAGGGGCTCTTCTGGAATATCATCAGGCTTCCGAAGAGGAGAGCCTTCATCAATTGGAGCAATCCTGGGCGAAGGAATCGGAGGCAACATCAAATTGGTAGCTCGGAAGGCGTCGACTGTTAGTTTGGTTTTAGCCTTAGCCACTTCTCGGCTTCTTTGAAGAACATCAGCCAGAGTTGATGACCAAATCCGTTGTTCTTCCTCTTAAAGCACTTTTGTTGGGAACTACTTCGGAGCTGGAATCCGTTTGATGGCATTGGTAAAATACTTATCTTCTTCATCCTCATCCTCATCATCATCTTCATCTGGAGAACTTGAAACAACTTTCAAAGAATCATCAGAGTCTTCATCTTGGAGTTTGAACTATGAGACAGGTTTCCAGGGGATGGATTGACTTCTTCTGCTGGGCCCTTCTGCCCCTTTTGCAACGGATGACCCGAAAACCGGTGCAAGCATTGCAGACTATTTGAGATCCGAGAACTTGTCAAACACCTTTTGAAAGCTTGTATTCATTTGAAGTGTTAAGGTGTCATAAGCGGCAGCTATAGGATCCTGAGCTTTCAAGTGATCAAAGAGTTGGCCAAGGATCGAGAGCATCTTATCAAATTTGTTGTTCGGAACATCCACAATGTTCCAGCATGCCCTGAGGAGCTTGATAAGGACTTGTTGTATGATCAGGTTCATCTCATCTTTCTTCCTGATCTCGTTCTTGAGTCTCTAAATTTTTTTCATGGCGGACGTGGGTCTGTTTGATGAGCTCATTTGTAGCACCAATCAAATCATCGTGAACCTTCAACATTTTGGTGATGGTATCGAGATAATGATCGAGATTGGCATCATACTTCTGTTCAACCTCCTCGATGGTATGCTTGAGTCGGAGGGATAAGTTGATCGAGCTGATCTTCCCTTTCAACAGTTGTTGGCCCAGACTTTGTGGCTTCACACAAGGAGTTTAAAATTGCGTATAACTTGGAGTCTAGACCAAAAAACTTTTCATCAATCTTGGCATCGAGTCCGACCATAGAGGTTTCAATTGACTCGACCTTCTTTACAGTTACAGAGATATTGTCTCAGAGTTCCAATAGGGCAAAGGGATCAGCATAATGACCAGCTGATGATCTTGTGTCCGAAGTGGAGGTCTGAGACTTGGCTTTATCATCTTCTTGGTTAACAGGAGGTTCGGAGGCCCCAGCCTGAGTTGCATTAGCTGTATTATCTTCCTTGGGATGAGTAGACTCAGTTTCAGTTCCGAGATGCATATGGGCTTGATCGTGAATCTTGATCTCTTCATCAACAGGTTCAGAAGAAGAGGAGGAGAACCCAAAATCATACGTTGGCCTTGAAAAAGATGGCTTGGTTGGGAAATGAAGTGAGGAAAACAGTGGTTGAGCAGCAATCGTAGTATCATCATCATTAAACAAAACTTCATCTGAAAGTTCTTCATCTGGATCGGGGTGAAAACCATCATGGTGTTGAGTCTTGGGAGGATCGTCCTAGATGATGTTATCTGCTGATTCTCCTGAGGCGAACTCCAAATCAGTGATTTCATCAGTTGGAGCAACAAAGGGCAAGTTGCTTTGGATGGACTTATTTCTCATCGAAATGAGAGTTGTTTCAACTAGGGGTATGGCAAGTTCAGGATGCCTCGTATGCACCCTGCCAACAAAATCTTCCCAAAGAGGATCATTAACACCTGGTCGTCCTGTACCTTTACCAGGTATCAGACCAGTTACAGCTTCCGAGGTAGGAGGGACAGCTCCTGCATCAGAATGCTTAGGGTTCAAGACAGGGATCTCGGAGCGTGCTTGTGATGAAAGAATGAGGTTTCCAAATTGACACGTGGGTTTGTTCCAGGGGTGCAAGGAATTATGTTCAACACCAGCAACACCTTGTTAGGTAGGTGAGTGTGGATTATGCGGAGACTCCCTGTGAGTGTGTGATTGTGATTTTGAAACTCCGAAGGGTACTTCGGAAGAGTGGGTAATTGGGGTAAGAGGATGGCCAGAGTCAGCCGGAATGTCTTTGGTTCCTTCCTGTTGAGAGGAAGAACCGACTTTGGTTCTCTTTCTGGCTTTGGGCTTTGAGGGAGAAGTCTTACATTTGGCAGACTTCTTTTTCTTACCACTGGATGGAACAGCCTTGGCCACGTCCGAGACAGGCTCAACAGAGACAGGGGTAGATTGAGTAGGGCTATACACAGCCGAAGTCGCCATATGTTTTGCAAGTGAATGGACTCAGACGGAAGGGTGGCCAACATATGTTCCGACAATCGCCTAATGGGTCCGAAAGATGTTTGGTCCGGAAGGCGATAAGACTTGATAGTTTTAAAAGTAAGAAATACCTCTTTCGGAATCGAATTCATAGGAATTGGTTCACTCCTTTGACGGTACAGTTGTTGTATGGTCAGAGCCCAAAATCTTGGGCTTGAAATCTCATGAGGCTTGCGATTGATGGCAAACTTCTGAAAGTCTTGCCACAAGACTTCCGTGAGATCGACTGCGTTATTCTTCCCAGAGAAAATATTGTACACAACATAAATCCAATCCTTGCTAAGAGTGTCTGAACCTCCATGCTTCCCAGACAGACCTATAAGAATGAAATGCATGAGGACTGTCCAAAGGATTGAAACCGCAGATTTCTTGAACTTCTTTGGCTTGAACTCTTCATCATATGGTTCTTGGACCTTGAAGCCTTTAGGGTTTTCCGGAATTCCAATCGCTTTCAGAAAAATGGACTTGTGAACAGGCACAATGTGATCACCTGTTATTCTGGTTTCAAGAACATAATCCTCGATCTTGATTCGATAAAAAGTGGTATGAATAAGACGAAGGGGAATTGGTGGGTCTCGAACTTTAGTAAGTGGAACAGAGATAGGGTTATGAGAGATGAACTCGATCATTACCCGGATGCACTCGTCATAGTCCATGGGGTCCAGAGAAAAGAGTTGGGTTATATCCCTGGGGAAGGATTAAGTCGACAAAGATGATGCATACCCTTTGGAAAACTTCTTCTTTGGAGAGGATTTGGAAGCTTTGGGAACAGATTGAGAGGAAGCCATTGTTGCAGGTTTTGAAGCTTGAAGAACACTTTAGCAGAGAGAGAGAGAGAGAGAGAGAGAGAGAGAGAGAGAGAGAAATAAGAGGGCTTTGGGAGTGTAACGGGTAAAATGGGTTTTAGGGTTCTTTTATAGGTTCAGGAAAGGATGGGTAGGGTTTGGGAAGTAATGATGAAACCAAGA